GCGGGAGGGGAACCCCACCACAGCGCCTGGGAGTGGGAGGGGAAACCCAGCAGGAGCAGCTCGGAGTGGGAGCGAAGCCTGCCTCAGCTGGTTTCGCTCCCCTCTCTGCTTGGCTCCAGCCACTGCAAGCCCTATTCTTGCAGGAATCTTCCTGCAACGGGCCTCTAGTCTTATAATAACCAAGAATTCCTAGTATCTGTCTCCAATACCTTGCATCATCACTGTCATTCACTTCAGTTATACATAAACTACAATAATTGATTATATCATTGCTATTATTATTTTGAACCAACTATTATCTTTAGATCAATTAACATAAAAAATAAAAATTTTAATGTTGCCTTAATTTATTCCTTCCATATTGCTCTTCTTTTCTTTATGGAGATCTGATATTCTGACCTGTATAATTTTCCTTCTCTGTGAAGAACTTCTTTTAACATTTCTTATAAGCTCTATAAGTGAACTGGGCTTTTTTCCTTCTGGCTTTTATCAATATTTTTTTCTTTTTCTTCATTTTAATATGACTTTCATCAATATAATTTTTTAGTATTTATCCTGTTTCATGTTCTCTAAGTTTCCTGGATTTATGGTTTGGTGTCTGACATTAATTTAGGAAAATTCTCAGTCATTAATGTTTCAAATAATTCTTCTATTCCTTTCTCTTTTTCTTCTGTTATTCCCATTATATGTATATCATATTTTTTGTAGTTGTCCCACAATTCTTAGATTTCTCTCTCTCTCTCTCTCTCTCTCTTAAATTCCTTTTCTATTTGTTTTTTAGTTTTGGTAGTTTCTGTTGATATCTTCTCAAACTCAGAGATTCTTTCCTCATTCATGTCTGGTCTACTAATGGGCACATGGAAAGGCAATTGAATCTGTTACAATGTTTTTGAACCCTATAATTTTTAAACTTTTTCTTAGAATTTCTATTTCTCTCCTTACATTGTCCATCTGCTCATGCACGTTGCCTACTTTCCTATTAGAGACCTTAGTATATTAATCATAGCTATTTTAAATTCTGAGTTTGATAATTCCAACAATTTTTCTATATCAAAGTCTAGTTTTGAGGTTTGCTCTGTCCCTTCAAACTGTATTTTTTGCCTCTTAGTATGTCTTACAATTTTTTGCTGAAAGTCAAACATAATGGACTGGGTAAAAGGAAGAAACTCAGGTTAAGAACTTTTATTGATGTTATAGTAAGTGTCAGGGGAGGGAAGGTATTTTATAGCCCTGTGAGTAGATTTCAGTCTTTTAGTGAGCCTATGTCCTTGGCTATGAAGTTCCTAAGTGCTTGTCTTCTCTCTCAAGGTGTGACACAATGGCTAGACTGTACTAGAGTTGGATATTTTCCTGCCCCCAGTCAGTCAAGCTCTGATAAAATAATAATAGGTTAGGCTGTAATAAAATAGTTACTCTTGAAAGCAGGCCTTATTAAGAAGAGCATATTTCAAAATGGCTACTCTCCCCCCTGCCACCCCCTCACCTAAAACACAAGAGGATTTTTCTTCAATATTCATTGTGAGAACCTAGTAAAAATCCTGGAGGTAAAACTCAAAAAATTGAGTTCTCCCATAACTGGTCCCTCTTGGAATCTTTAACTCTCAGACTTGTGTACATTGAGCCTCTAGCAATTTATTTAAATCAGATTTATTGGGATGACATTGGTTAAAAAGATTACATAGGTTTCAAGAGTATATGTACAATTCTATGAGACTTGTCTACATTGAGCCTCTAGCAATTTAGTAACTACAGTTTAGATTTTCCTATATTAGTACTGGTTCTCTCAGAATTTTCTGGTCTGGAAGGTTGTGAATCTCTGAATCCACTTGTCTGATCCTCCCATTCAGGGGCCAATAGCTTATCCTGTGACCTCACCTTTCTATTGGACATAAGAAGTGTTGTTGATTTTCAGCTTTTTACTTGATGTGAGGATGTAATGATGTTTTTCAAGCATCTTACATGCTCAACTGGACTCTGGAAGTCTGCCAAAGATTCTTTCCATAGCTGGGACTCAGTAAGAAAAATGTAGGTGTTCTTACCTGATGCTGATGTCATCACTTGTAGGAGAAGAATACCCACAAAGTACCCAGAAAAAGAAGAGGATGTAGACTTCATCATGCCTAGAAAGGAGACAAAAAGAAAGTCATAGACTGTTAGTGGGTAGAAATTGACAAGATACACAAAATTAAGTCAATATTATAAAGAGGGAAAACTTTGAGAATTCCTCTCAGTGCTCAACAAAATGACCATGTCCCCTCACATGGTTCTGATCAAGAGAGACTTCTCAATTTCTCCTTCTCATTAATTCACACTTTGCTATTTATCTATTTATCTCTCTTTCACATTTTGACTCAACCTACTAAAACATATTTTTTAACAGGAGTAACAAATGGAGTGAAAAAATATTCTAAGTGAATGAATGGGGGAGAAAACAAAAAATCGCAGGCACAAAAGCATAAATGCCTAAGTGTGCATAGTAAAGTAAGAAAAATATTTTACTAATTCGTGTCCTTGAACAATTAAGATGAAAACAAATCAAAGCGGCACTAAAACACCTTGTTAATAATTTTATACATCCTATATAATAAAGAGGTAATATGCAAATTGACCATCACACCCTCACACAAGATGGCCACCCCCATGTGGTCACAAGATAGCTGCCCCCATGTCATCACAAGATGGCCACCTCATATTATCACAAGATGGCCACCTCATATCATCACAAGATGGCCACCACAAGATGGCCAGCAGGGTAGAGCAGTTAGGAGAGACCAGGACTGCATGGGAGGACAGTTGGGGGTGACCAGGCCAGTAGGGGAGGGCAGTTGGAGAGGACTGGGCCAGCATGGGAAGGCAGTAGGGGGCGATCGGGCCGGCAGGGGAGCAGTTAGGCATCGATTAGGCTGGTAGGTAAGTGATTAGGGAGTGATCAGGCTGGCAGACAGAAGCAGTTAGAGGAAATTAGGCAGGTAGGCAGGCAAGCAGTTGGGAGCCAGCAGTCCCAGATTGTGAGAGGGATGTCCGACTGCAGGTTTAGGACTGATTAGGCCTAAACTGGCGGTTGGACAACCCCTGAGGTGTCCCAGATTGGAGAGGGTTCAGGCTGGGCCAAGGGACACCCCATACCAGTGCACGATTTTGTGCACCTGACCTCTAGTTATATATATATAAAGGAAAAGCTGCTGAAATATTAACCAGCATCCTGTATTTTATCTGACCACCATACTCATTCATATTTAGAAACTTATGAATTGATTCAAACACATGAAATAACAACATCAACCAAAAAGTGGTTCAAAAAATGTATGTTTTAAAGGAAGATATAGGACTTTATTCAAATCATAGTCCAGTGCTAAAGTAATTAGTTAAGATCTGAAGAAACAAATTCTGATACTTGTCACTCTTCAAACAAGTGAGAGGGGCCAATTTGATCTATATAAAGCCAATGTGAAAATATTGAAAACAGTGATGCTTAATATTTTATTATTTTACACTAGAGGTCTGGTTCACGAATTCGTGCACCAGTGGGGTCCATTGGCCTGGCCTGTGGGATTGGGCTGAAACCGGCTCTCCAACATCCCCTGAGGGGGTCCCAGATTGCGAGAGAGCACAGGTCAGGCCAAGGACAGTACCAGTGCATGATCAGGGCTGGGGAGGGATGCGGGAGGTTGGCCAGCAGAGGAAGGACCATGGGAGGGATCCAGAGTGTATCCAGCCTGTCTAGCTCAGTCCCAATCAGCCAGACCCCAGCAAGTTAACCTACTGGTAGAACTGTGTGCCCCCTGGTGGTCAGTGCACATAATAGCAAGCGGTTGAGCAGCCTTAGCATATCATTAGCATATTAGCTTTGATAGATTGAACAGCCGACTGGACAACTAGACACTTAGCATATTAGGCTTTAATTATATAGGATATCTGACAGATATGACAAATGATTATCAGGAACACTGGCCCATCAGATGATTCACTTTCCATTGTGAGGTAGGCAAATGTTGGCATAACACCCAAAGAGCAGATTATAATTTCCAAAGGGTTATAATCTTTAAATGACTCATAGTTATTAGATCAGGAATTCTCAAACTTTTTAAACAGGGGGCCAGTTCACTGTCCCTCAGACTGTTGGAGGGCCCGACTACAGTTTAAAAAATAACTATGAACAAATTCCTATGCACACTGCACATATCTTATTTTGAAGTAAAAAAACAAAATGGGAACAAATACAATATTTGTATTTGCATGTGGCCCGCGGGCCGTAGTTTGAGGACCCCTGTATTACATTATTTCCCTCCATTACTCTCCATTGCTATTCAAAATTATTAACTTGCTGTACCTGGTTTGGCTCAGTGGATAGAGCGTCGGGTCCCAGATTCCATTCCGGTCAAGGGCACATTCCTGGGATTGTGGGCTCAATCCCCAGTAGAGGGTATGCAGGAGGAAGCCAATCAATGATTCTCATTGATGTTTCTATCTCTCTCTCCCTTTCCCTTCCTCTCTAAAATCAACAAAAATATGTTTTAAAAAATTATTAACTTAGACTTTGAATCTATGAAAGATACTTATTTTAAAAAGCAAGCTTATTTAAAATGTCCATATAACGACTTATACATGTGTTCATGGTTGCTTTAATTGTAATAGTTAATAACTGAAAATTACTCAAAATTTCATTTATAGATGAAAGCACAAACAAGTTCTGATATATGCATATAATATAATATACTCAGTAATAAAAATGAATGAACCATTTTTACAAACATGTATGAATCTCAAAAGAATTTTGTTGAATTAAAAAGAATTTAGGCAGAAAAAATGACTTATACAGTGTGATTTCATGTATGTAAAATTTTATAAAATGCAATAATCTCTATGAAAGTAGAAATTGAGGATAGGAGGAGAAGGAAGAATTGTAAAAGTGCATGAGAACACTTTTGGGAGTGTTGGACATGTTTGGTATATTAATTACAGTGATAGTTTTACAGCTGTAAACACATGTAAAATTTAACAAATGATTTAAATTAAATGTATACAGTTTTTTGTATATCCCTTATACCTCAATACATTTTAAGTCTACTTTTAAAAATACAATTAAAATATTAGTAATAATTTTTGAGGTGTATTTACGTTTAATAATTACACCATCCATATTACAGGAGAGGAATCTTGGTAACTGGGGATATCTACTGTGGTGTCTATCAGGCCTAAAACACTGGCATTACTATAAGTTTTATTGAGTGCTTTTAAAAAGATACTGGGAAGCAACACCACTTTGGGGACTCAGGGTAGATAGGACCAGTTTGTATTTATTTATTTATTTACTTGTTTGAAATATGTTTTTATTGATTTTTAGAGAGAAAGGAAGGGAGAGGGAAAGATAGCAACATCAATGAGAGAGAAACATACATCAGCTGCCTCCTTCATGCCCCCTACTGGGGATCAAGATGGCAACCCGGGCATGTGCACCAACAGGTAATTGAACCAGTGACCTCTTGGTGCATAGGACACACTCAATCACTAAGCAACACTGGCTGGGCGATAGGTCCAGTTTTTAATAATCAATCCAATACTGAAATTTAAAAGGAGACCCTTCGTTTTGAAATACCTCACTGCCTGTTAGTTTTCTAAATCCCCAGATATAGCTATTCTGTGATGAAAAGATTGGCAAAAAATTAAGGAATTAGAGCTAAAGAAACTCCTAATGCTATAATAAAGGAAGTAAGGTATAGGTAGCCTTGTCCCTAACCACCGTTCTCAATCTGATCACTTACTTGAGCTCCAGGTTCCAGAGGATATTTCTTTCCAGGTCCTTCTGAAAGTTGGCTCAGTGTCTCAATGTGATTTGGTAGTAATCCTCCACCAACAGTCAGTAACAGCTACAATACAGTCAAGAGAGCACTCTGTTTACCAGAGCTTCCACCTATTGCCTGCTGGCAGAACTTTTGTTCTGGCCAATCCGACATATATATTCCCTTCCTTCATAAGGAAAACAGTAAGGTATCTGTTTTCCATGCCATAAAACCTCAACTCCTTTTGCAGCAGCACCATGAGTCATGCAAGAGAACTCTGTGTTATATTTGCAAGAGACAGGTCCCAACATGACATGACTTAGCCTGAGATAATATCTGAGCTCAGGAGTCTTTCTTTATATATTTTCCCCTGAATGAAACAAACTTACCATCATGAAACAAAGTTAAGGGAAATTCTTGTTCTTATTAACAGTTATATGCCCTTTAAGTTATCTTTGCAAACACAAGTTAGAATTTCCTCTTACTCCTCCACACCTACTGAATACAATTTTTTCCTACTTCACCAGTTATGCTTTCTTCCTGAAAACCATACTACATTCAATTTGATATGAGCACAGAACAAGTACTTGGAAAATAATTTTCAAAGCTTTTTTTTTTTTTTAAAAAAAAAAATCTAGTTTGAAGAAATGAACTGTGAGAAACATTCTCTTACATGTTTACAAGGGCATCTGTGATAAGTTTATCAAGGTATATACCAAACTATCTCCTTAGTATGTCACAAATACTTAATTTAATGCTAAATTAAGCAATTACATTCCTAAATAGATGGGTATATTTTCATTCCTACCTGCAGTAAATATTAGCTCCCCTTGTATCAGTACTTATCAATAATCAGAATTACTCAACTTCTTTATTTGGCTCATTCAATGGGTGAGAAATTGCTTCTCCTTTTTTTATTTGTAGAATACTAGAGAGATTATGAATTTCTTCATACAGGTATAACTATTCAGTTCTATCCCTTGGTATATTTTTTTAGTCCCACAATTTAAAAATTTATTTGTTAGGTTTTCTGTCTTATTCCTTATTTCTATGCCTGTAGGTATTAATCCATTATTATCATTAGGCTTTGAAAATATCTTCCCAGCATATTAGATATCTGTCAATTTTGTCTGTAATGCCCTTAATTTAGCACAAATATTTAATTTAAATTTGTAGAATTAAAATTTTAAAATACCTCACTTTGGGAATTTAGTAAGAAATCCTTTTCATTCCAATGTCACAAGACACTAGCCTGAGTTTTTCTTTATATACTAGAAGCCCTGTGCATGAATTCATGCACAGGTGGGGCCCCCTAGTGGCCTTTGAGGATTGGGCTGAAACCCACAGTCCAACGCCACCTGCAGCTCCTACCTACCACTCCTGTTCATTCCAGCCCCACTGTGCCTGTCATGGGCTCACGCCCAATCAGATCCGATCAGGAGAGGCTCGCACTGCCACAGCAGCACTCGCCAGGCATGAGCCCTCCATCTGGCACCCTCCTAAGGGAAATGGCCTATGGGATAGGGCTGAAACCGGCTTTCTGACATCCCCCGAGAGGTCCCGATAGTGAGAGGGTGCAGGCCAGGCCAAGGGACCCCACTAGTGTATGATCAGGCTGGGACGGTCCACAGGAGGGCTCCAGGGTGTGTCCAATGAATCTCGCTCAGTCCTGATCAACCGGACCCCAGCAAGCTAACCTACTGGTTGGAGCATCTGCCCCCTGGTGGTCAGTGCACGTCATAGCAAGTGGTTGACCAGTCAGCAGATGACTGGATACTTAGCATATTAGGCTTTTATTATATAGGATACATTTTTTTTCCATAGAGTGAGAGAATTTTCCTCAGGGGTCCATCTCATCTGATATATGAGTTTATCTGTTTTAATCAGGGTTGTGGTAGGGAACAAAAGGCAGACTCAGATTAAATTCTGAAGATAATCAAATGAAGACAATGTTCATACAAGAGTAACTAGAATTAAGTGAGCTTACAAGATCCTCAAGGTCTGGCTAGTAATAGGTTATCTCTCCTCATCAGGAACAACAAAAAACAAAATAATGTTGCCAAAGCCTGAGAGATCCAGAACCTTGGGTGATGGGCCATGAGCAGGAACCAAAGTTGTAGAGAATAAGCCCATTGACTGAAGTGTGGGACAAAATGAAAGGGAGCAGGGAAAAGATAGTTTGGCCTCTTTCTCTTCCCAGTCTTCAGTTTCCTGCCCATGACCCCCCTAGGCAAGAAAGAAAGGGACCCCAGATGATTGAGTTGGTAGAGGTCAGGAAAAAAAGGGTGAGAATGGATCTGAGTGAACAAATGGAGAAAGACCAGCTTATACCATATATACACTGAATGGCCAGATTATTATGACCACCCCATCAATACTTCATTGACACTTTCAAAAATACTGAATATTGAAAACTTCCTAAGCAAATACTCTCAAGGTTTTATTATTATTTGCATAACTAATTCACTTCATTGTACTGAGGAGGTGGTCATAATAATCTGGCCACTTAGTGTATATGCTGGAGAATTAAGTGGGACACACATAAAGTCCCAAAGTGGAGTAAGAGCTTTATATAGTTGAACAACTGTAATAAAATTAGTGAGGTTGATTGGCATTAGAGCCAACTATTCAGGTATATAAAATATATATTTTTAATTTTATAAATAAATTTTTTTATTGTTGATAGTATTACAGATATCTCCCATTGAATATCCCCCCTCCTCCCTGCACCTGCCCCTCCTCCAGGTCTTCACTTATTGCCAGTGTCCATAGGCTATGCATAAG